CCCCCCCCCTGCCGCCCCTACTTGTTTTCTCAACTGTGAGTCTATAAGAGGACATAGGAAATTATTAACATTAAGAACAACTATGTTGTCTTATTTTTATTAGTTTGAACCCACACATATAAACGGCGCCCAATCAGTTTGTTAAAACTTGTCACAACAATCGTTCTCGAAACAGTACATTGCGACCAGAGGGCCTCATTGCCTTAAACGTCAACCCGGGCATTACAGCTGACCCACAAGAACTTGTCGGACGCCTTCCAGGCGTAGCGGAGGATGCTCTTCTGCTGCCAGCCGCCGTCGCCCTCCTTTAGCCCGTGACAGCCCAGGCTGCACTTCTGGCAGTTGCGGCAGTAGTACCTCGGCGCCAGGATGCGCAGCTCGAGCTCCGGGTTGTTCTTCACCAGGGCTCGCACCGCGCCGTCGTGCAGGAAGGCGTGGCCGCAGACCTTCCTCCGGCCCGGGACGGGCAGCAGCGTGAGGGTGCGCAGGGCCGGCGCCGAGGCGGGGGTGACGGCCCTCGCCAGCGCGTCGAGCACCGCGTTGAGCTTCAGGTGGCGCAGGTCCGGCAGCGACGGCAGGACGGCGCGCAGCGACTGCACGTGCGGGTAGTCGGCGTCCCTCCCGCTCCTGCAGGTTTGGACCTCGTCGATGACGGACAGCGACTGCACGCGCGACGGCCAGTTCCGTCCGGTCAGCGCCGCGACCAGACTGTGGCCGACCGCGGCGGCGCCCGTCGGAACCTTGTAGTGCAGGGTGACGGTGCGCAGGTGCTCGGCGCTGCGCAGGAGCGTCTCCGCCTCGCCGACGTGGTCCTGGGTGCCGGGCGTCACGTAGAGCGTCACGCTGCGGAGCGACGGCGCGGACGCCGCCACGGACGCCAGCCCCGGCATGAGCCCGCAGGACAGCGCGCGGAGGTTGGGCGCGCCGCCGGCGAGCAGGCGCCCCGCCGTGGTGGCGTGCATGTCGACGCCGTCCTCGCCAACGCCGAGCTCGACCTCCTCCAGGGTCGCGGCGTGCGCGGCCAGCACGAACGCGACGAAGGGCTCCGTCTCCTGCACGTGCATGCAGGAGAAGACTTTCGGGGACGACTGGGTAGCTCGGTGCAGGCTGACCGCGATGGGTACAGTGTAGGAGCCGCCTGGAAGGCGGAGCCACTCCAAGCCGCTCGTCGACGCCAGCGTGGCGAACAGCAGGCGGATAGGTCCTGGAGGGGGGCCAGCCTCCACGTAATTCAGCTGGTTGGCGACCGTGGTCGTGGTGGCGTAGACCAGGAGCAGTCGCCTGAGCCGGCCCAGCGCCTCCTGGTTGCGGATCGCCAGGGCGACGACCCCGACGGCGTTGGCAAACAGGGGGCAAAGCTTGATCCTCAGCTCGGGCACGGCGCACTTGGTCGCGACGAACAGGCACTGCATCTCCGTCGTCGAGCGGGTGCTAACGCAGACGTCGATGCGCCTCAAGCACGGCGCCAGGCGCAGCGCCTGGCGCACGCCGCCGCCGCTCGAGAGGTGCCGGTGCCGCCACGCGTCCGGGTGCAGGGCGAGCCCGCCGAGACGCTTGCACACGAGGCGGCAGGCCAGGAGGTCCGGCACGTCCACGAACTGCATCACCATCAGCAGCACGTCGTCCGGCAGGTGCTCCATGACCTGCAAGCCAATGAGTCTCGAGCGTGTGGTCGATCACTGGGAGTGCCGTGCAGATAACGTTACCTTGCATGCGACTGGCCCGGAGTGTGACGATGAGCTGATGTGGCCAGGACTGGAGGCGGAGGCGATCCGGTACCGACCGCGATCCGCTACCACCATCTGCTGAATCTGACCTGGGACCTGGGCTGGGACCTGGGACCTGGGAGCGGAGCAGCTGCTGAAGGCTGAAGTCACGCCCCCCCCCCCTCCCCCAGCAAACCGCCGGGACCCACCTTTGCCGGAGAGAGGCCGGGGACATTCCCCATTGTAACGCGGCCGACTGTACTTTCCCTTCCATCACGGCGGCGGGCGGCGGGGAAAACTAAAACTTGTCTCAGCTGGGCTACCTGCCCTGCTGCGCAACGCGTCACACCGAATTGAATTCTACAATATATTTTTTTTCATCGCGATGTTGCGCGGCTAGGATGAATTTGAAGAAACGAGTCACGTGTGTTCCTCGATGAGCGTTGAAAGACAGTCCGCAAGACTGTCTCCAGAGAGAGCAGAAGTTATCTCTGACTGTCTCTTTCGGACGGCAGGGTGCACCCCCCCCCCCCCTCCCACGTCGTCCTCCTGTAGCACAGCAGGGCACGCCTCACGGTGGTACCCACGGATTTTTGTCAAAATTATGAAACTTTAGTCCAATTCAGAATTTGTCTGACCAGAAGTTGATTAATGATTCCCTAAACAGTTTCAACCAATTTTATTTGTTCTAGAAGCATACTTATCAGATAAGTTCACAAACAGGAAAGTTACTGTAATGTACTAATTCTGTCCAACATGCAAAGCGAGGAGGGCCAACTCAAAAAATACAAAGAATACCAAAAAAATACACAGAAATGCATCAAAATACACGTCAAAAATTCTAGAAAAATACAAAGACAATTCAAGAATTACACTCGGAACGTACACAGAAATACACGAGTTGCCCCCCCCCCTTCCCCCTTGACGCAAAGCCAGTTACTAGCCAACTGGAATCAAGGGCGACTGACTACTATTATTGAAAAGGAGATTATACTTTGTAATGTTGATCCACATTAAATTTTTAGGAAAAATGCGTAAACGGCCGTAACCGTAGCTGAGCCTCACTCCCTTCATGAGCCGGCGAATCAGGCGGATGCAGCGCAGCTCCTGGTGGCAGTGCCGGCGGCACGCCTCGCAGGTGTCGACCTCCAGGCAGACATTGAGACAGCGCACGTGCACCTGGAGCGCGGGGTTGTCGGCCAGGAGGGTGGCCATCGACCTGCTGTGCAGGTACGCATGGCCGCACTGGTCCCGGATCTTCGGCTGCAGCCTGAGGGTGCGGAGTGCCGGCGCCGTGACGGGGGTGACGGCCCCGGCCAGCCCGTCGAGCACGACGGCGCTCAGCTCCAGGTGGTGCAGGTACGCCAATGAGGGCAGGGCGGCGAGCAGCGGCTGCAGGTGCCGGTAGCTCCGCTCCCGCTCAGTGAACTCAGTGATCTCCAGGAATTGCAGGCGGGACGGCAGGGACAGGACGAAGGGTCCGTCGTCTTTGTCGACAGACTCGTAAAACAGGCTCAACGACTCTAGCTGGCCTGCGCGTCCCAGGCACTCGTCCAGCAGGACTCTTTCTCGTCCTCTGACGTAAAGTGAGACTTTCCTGAGCGACTGGCACGCGGCGAGCGCCTGGAGCCCCAGGGGCAGGTTGCACGTCAGCTCGCGTAGGTTGGCCAGGCCGCCGAGCTGCGCCGCAATGAAGTCCGAGGTCTCGCTCCAGCGGGGGAGCGAGACTGTCTCCAGGGTCGCGGCGTGCGCGGCCAGCACGAAGCTGACGAAGGGCTCTGTAGCCGGGTTGAGTTTGGCGAGGAGAGTCTTGATGGACGGGCTGGGTGCCGCCCCGGCCGCCCGGGTGAGTAGGGCTGGAGCAGCCGGGTTCGGAAGCATGTCGAAACTACCAATGTCGAGCTCCTCCAGGCCGGCCGCCGACACCGCCGTCGCTAACAGCTTTGCGTCCATATCCTCAGGTACAAAATAAGAGGCCCCACCCCATAGTTTCAGCCGCCTGAGCCGCCCCAGCGCCGCCTGGTTGCGGATCACAGGACCGGCGTGCTTGAACTCGGCCCAGTCCTTGGTCTCACTGACCATCATCTCCAGGTGGGTCACGGCGCACTTGGTCGTGCTGCAGAGCGCGAGCGGCGGATGGCTCATTTCGTGTGTAAGGTTCAGCTTCCACGTCGTGAGGCAAGGCGCCAAACGCAGGGCCTGAACTTCTTGCCGACTGACTGTGACGTTCCGGCGCCGCCACGCGTCCGGGTGCAAGGCCAGTCCCCCGAGCCGCTTGCACACGAGGCGGCAGGCGAGTAGGTCCGGCACCTCCAGGAACTTCATCACCATGAGCAGCACGTCGGCCGGCAGGTCCGCTAGGAGGGGCTCCATTCCCTGTGAACAACAGTAACACAAGGGAGGGGTTCACTACGGGATAGGCGCTCTGTGGGGACCGACGTGGACATGACACTTGTGCTGAGGTCAGAACGGACAGCACTTGTGTGGTAACGAGTGGTAACCCGATAGACCATCAGAACAGTGCTGTTCGCCCCGCGCTCTCCCTTCCGGATACAGTACCTTGTGTGTAGCGCAGGATCGTGGTTTGCCTGCCGCTAGTCTTGCAGTTGAGCTGGCAGCGATGTGTGCGAGGATGCAGATGGACCGCGACTGATGTCAGATGTCACTCACTCAGTACTCGGCGAACTGCGACTGGACAGGAGAAGGGAC